AGGGTGTGGACTCACTACATCCCCATATTCCGCAACAATTCAATTTGAAGGATGGAGTCCTAACATTCAAGGTTAGGGTAAGGGCTGGTTTTAGAAGAGCCAAAATTCCTAGGACTTAGGGAACTTGGTGAATCTCCACCCCTGGAAATAGCAGGTGGGCAGGGAAGTCAGCTGTAGGGCTGCTGTGAAGCAGAGGGGAGGAGTTTAGAAGGATCAGCTAACCAATGAACGCAGGGCTCTGTCCTGGCCTAGGCAAGCCTCTGGCAGTGCTAAGTAGGCTTCTTTTCTGAGAGCTCCTTTCCTGGCTGAAGAGACCCAGGGATGGTAGTGGGTCTCTTCAGGCACAAGAACCTGGAGGAATTTACTGGCAAAATTGAAAAGATTACAGTTTTCAAACAAAAGAAGTGTCAACAGTTCAGTTCTGAGACCTCCCCACGACACTGGGTTCTAGGTTTGTGTACATGTACCTCCCGCTTCCGAAAGACAAAGGTTTCTAAGCCAGATTGGCAAGGTGGAGTAAGCAATCGAAATATAGTTCTTGAATCGTGTGGGAACTTCTTAAACCTCAGACCATAATCTGAATCTGACTTTTCACAAGATTCCAGATGGTTTGATGAACTGGCCCAAGCTTCCCCAAGGCCCCCAGGAGAGGCACTATGACAGAGCCTATGCTACAGACCCCCAGCTACATATCGGCGTGCTAGCAACTTGGATTCTCCTTCACCATCCTTCAGAGGGGTTGATTTTACTTGAGCGTCCTTGATTTCCTGGTGAAGAATAACCCTGAAGGGTCTGGGAGCAGCATTTTTTCTCCTATGACTCTAAGCTGAACCCATTTTGTCCAAAAGATGGAAAGGGGCAGGGGCTGCACATCACCTTGGTATGTGATCTGTTTTGTACCCATGAAAGAAAACTGACCTCAAACTCCCTAAGGATAATGCAAAAATAAGCCTTCTGCTGACCTCCTGTACAAAGAAGCAGCCTGGCCCTGTGGAGGGCCTCTAACTTCCAAAGACCCGGGAAAACCACAGCAGGAAAGGCTGAGGACACCCCCTTCCAGACTGCCCTTTTGCGGGGCGCTAAGCAACCTCCGTCAAGTGGGTCCTCAGGAGGCAATCCCAGCAACGCAGCTACTTCTGTCTGTCCTTCAGAAGGACCGCAGTACTCACGGGCGGTTCGGATGGTGTCACTGGGCTGACTACGGGAGCTGAGACCGTGGGGGTTCACGGCCCTCACGGCAAACTGGTAGCTGGTGTCCGGATCGAGGCCCTTGATGACCATGGAATCCATCTGGAGCTGCTCTTGGATTAAGGTCCAACTCTTGTCAAAATCTGGCCTTTGTTGATTAAAAAACAAAACAGAATGAGAAGCAGTAGTTCAGTTACAGCAGAGGGAAGGAAAGCTTGCTGGCTATGTAAACTAACAGCGTTTGACTTCTGCAAGCAAGACTTATCAAAATGAGTGAACATTTCCCATCTAAAAGTGATCTGGATTTGAAATGCCAGGTCATGATTTTTAAGCCCTTGCCAATAAAAGAAAGTAGATCCTTTTTAGGGCCAGTTTTAAGCACTGTTTAAAGATCACCCGCTTTTCCTTGCATGGCCTTGACTGTGGTAAAAAGATCCCCACGTAGGAATTCGGTTTCAGGGACTCTGTCTTCCAGATGTTTCGTAAACAAGCCTTCCCCTGATAGTTCCCATTCCCAGGGGTCAGGAGAGCACAGATTCCATCTATTCACAATCTGTTCACAAAATAAACAAATATAAATGTTCTAGGGTGACTAATTGCGTGAACTGCCATGGGAAAACCCAACAAGATTCTGTAGCACGGCCATTCTTACTCTTCACAAAACTACAAGTGTGCCAACTTGCCAAATGTTCACATGGACTCGGACTTGTGCCTAGTGGTGGGAGACAGTTTAAAAGCAGAGAAGGAGCTAATGGTATCAGTCACTGAAGCCATTCCCATCACCCGAGACTGGGAGTTATTCCCCAGTGTTTCTGCCTCAGCTGAGCCACAATCCAAGCACCTGGGTTCCGGGCACTGTGGCCCAGAGACCAGCTCATCAGGCCAATGCTTGTACCCTGAGGTCTTCTATGGCAGCCCTGGGCCTCCCATTTCTCAGGTTTCAGGGGGAGCCACAGCCCCTCAGCTATACCCCAACGACGGAGGTTTCTGCCCTGGGACACCCTCATTGCACCCTTGCAGATCACAGCCCCGTACCTCCTCCCAGGCCCAGCCCGACCCTCGGCACTGCCCTCTGGGGTAGCTGTCAAGGGCCAATTTCTGGATTTCTCCACACTGCAAGCAACAGAGCCGGGGAAGTTGCTAGCTGGAGGAGTTCTCTACCTTCCACCTTCCTTCCTCCACCCTCCAGCTTTCTGCCCCAGCCCTTTGCCAGACCTACCCTTGCTTCAGGTGCGACAGGATCTGCCTTCCCCCTCAGATCTTTATTCTCCTCCTCTGCAACCTGGCGGCCAAAGTGGCTTCCTCCCCTACGGGGCCCCTGCCCAGCAGATGCTTCCCCCCACGGTGGACCCACAGCTGCCTGTGGTGAATTGCGGCTCCCTGCCACCAGCGCCGCCTCCTGCCTGACCCCCCCTTTCTCTGTTACCTGTGGGCCCTGCTCTGCGGCCCCCCAGCCTGGCTGTGCGGCCCCCGCCTGCTCCTGCTATGCGGGTGCTGCCTTCACCTGCCAGGCCCTTCGGCCCTAGGTTGGGGCGAGCAGAGCTGCACCCAGTAGAACTAAAGCCATTCCAGGATTATCGAAAACTGAACAGCAACCTTGGGGGACCTGGGTCATCACGTACTCCTCCAGCTGGAAGGTCTTTCTCTGGCCTCAATTCCCATCTCAAGGTCCCACCTTCCACCTACAGTGGAGTCTTCCGCAGCCAGCGCATCGACCTCTACCAGCAGGCCTCCCCACCGGATGCCCTGCGCTGGACGCCGAAGCCCTGGGAGCGGACGGGACCCCCTTCTCGAGAAGGGCCGTCCCGAAGGGCACAGGAGCCTGGATTGCCCCCACCCCGCTGAGGGAGCGCCCTTTGCCCCCACCTCCTGGGGCTTGTATATAGATTATAAATATATAAGGGGGAAAGGGGTGGGTGGGGAAGGGTTGCGGGGCTGGGGCCTTGCTTCCCCTCCTCCCCCCTCCCCTGGTCCCCTACCCCTGGGGCCGTTTGTTAAAAAAGAATAATAAAAGGATTAAAAAAAAAAAAAGTCCAGCTTCCATCTGGGGGACAGCATACAGGGGGTAAGAGAACAAACTCTGGATCTGGGCTGAGCTGTTCAAATCCTGCCTCTATTGCTCACTGGCTGCTATTTCACCTCTTTAAGTCTCTAGTTTCTCATCCGTAAAATGGGGTGATAAAAGTACCTACTTAAGAGGGCTGTCATAAAGGAGAAATTAATTCTGTATCCCAGCACAGTGCCTGTCAATGTAAATGAGCAGGACCCTATGGGGCCCTCCCAGAACAGGAGCCCCCTCTTCCCAATGTCCTCAGCCTGCCTTTTGCCTGTAGAAAAACTTTAGTCAAAGAATTTAATCAGAAAAGTGAGAAAGTGCAGAAAGGAAAAAATAACGTCAAACAAGATAAAATAATAATAGTTTAGCCATTCAACAAAGTCAAGGACCTTTAGTTCCTCCTCAAGGGCTATAGATAATATTCTGAGCCACATCTTTTGAGCTGTTTTGCAGAAACTGAAACACTCACCGGGTGGAAGGAGTTAACTGTCTGCTGCTCACAGGCACATACAGCCCAGACCGGTTGGAACCAGAAGGTTGATGATATTGACTCACGATTATCTCACCACCAACCAATCAGAGGAGTGTCCACGAGCTGATCACACACCCCACAACCCCCTTCCCTTATGCCTTTAAAAACCTTTCCCTGAAAGCCTTCGGGGAGTTCGGGTCTTTTAAGCACTAGCTACCTGGACTCCTTGCTTGGTGCCCTGCAATAAACGCTGTACTTTCCTTCACCACAATCTGGTGTCAGTAGATCGGCTTTACTGCACTCAGGCAAGCAGACCCAAGTTTGGTTCGGTAACAGCATCACACTGTAAATGCTCAGCATGGATTAGCCATTATGTAAGGGATGTACCCACCTCACAGAGCTGGCAGGCAACCCTTGGCCACCTGCTCACTCTATACCCATGAGCTTCAATGCAGTAGCACTAGCGCACGTGGCTAGTCAGTACTTGAAATGCGGCTTGTCTGAATTGGAATGTGCTGTGAGTGTAAAGTGTATGATGGATTTTTTTTAAGTGTAAAATATTAATATTTATATTGATTACATGTTGAAATGATGATATGTTGGATTCAGTGAGTTAAAAATACTTATTATTGATATTAATTTCACTTGTTTCTTACTACCCTTTAAATACCCCTATCAAAAAACTTAAAATTTCATATAGGCTTGCATTTACTATTGGCCAGTGCTGTTCTATATGGACTTCCTAGTTGGAGGGAGAAAGGAGAGCTTTCCAGGTAATAAGAGCTACAAAATGAAATTTAGGAATGTTTGTGCATGGCTGGGGGACAGTGCAAATGGCCTAACTGGAGTGGAGAGGTTTTGTTAATAACTAATAATAGCTATCATTTATCATGTTCTTCAATGCGTATCAAGCATTGTTCTAATAGTTTAACTCATTTACTTCTCACAATTACTCTATACAGTAGATACTAATATTAAACACCCCCCTATTTCTTTGAAGAGGAAATTAAGGCACAGAATGGGTAAGTAACTTGCCTGAGGTCACACAGCTGATAAATGGTGAGACCAACTTGGGTTGATGGGGGAAGATTAGATTAAGAAGATCCTTGATGCTGAATGAAAAATTGGGGTGCTAGGGATTGGGAGATTCTCCATGTTTTAGTTTGCTCCCCAACCAACCTCTCTGCTCTTCTATTGTTAAACCCCTCTGCTCACAGATATTTAGAGGAAGGCAGGAAGCAAAAAATACTGATGTTTGCCCTTTACGAACAACTTAATAGGCAAGGAGGTAAAGACTCATTTTGCTAAAAGGAGACGCCTGGATGGTACACAGATTTCTCTAATATGTGCTCTTCTAGTTTTTCATTAGCAAGAATTGTTGAAAGCTAGATGGAGTCCTTAAGCCCAGCAAAAGATGCTTCCTTGGGCTCACCGTGCTGCTGAGGAGTTTATGGGGCCCATATCTCACAAGAATTCATGTGTCTGGAGAAGCAGAGGTCACAAGCATGTCCACTGTAGGATGCAGGGCTCATTTCTCTTTCTCGGTATCCTTTCCCTAAAGATGGATTTCTCATGTAAACTAACTTTGTCATCAAAGAGAAAACCTCGTGAGTGGAAGGAAACACATTTACAAACTCAAATTAGAACAAAATCACTTCACAGAGGAAAGCCACAGGGATGCCTAACAGTAAAGTCAGGAAAGATATGATCTTTAGATAAAACTCTCCTGTTATCCTTTGCTAAGTTTCCCTTGTGGCATTTATAGAGGAAAGGACCTGTCACTGCTCTCAGAATGTGCCACTGTCTACCCAGGGCTACCTGCAAATACCTGCAACAATTTTCATGTAAAAAATTACAGCTTCCCATCCCCCACAAAAAAAGAGATGATTTTCTATTTGCTCATTTAATGCAAGAAAGAAAGCTACATTTTCAGCGAATAAGAGATTGACATCATTAACATTTAATTTCATTATATACAGTGAGAGAGGAAAGCTCATGTAGATTGAATACCAGTCCAAAACCTTTAACATTTTGCCTCTGATTTTGTCATGGGTTTTGCATTTAAATGTTTTTAGAGTCTCTTGAGGTACAAAAGTGCAAAGGCAAGGTTGAGAGAGAGATAATCAGGCAAAAGCATTGTCTTAGTTCATCCTCAAACAATAACTTTATCTTTTTTCACTAAAGAAAATCATCCTAACTACAAAGTTGCCAGTCAAATCACCATAGCAACACTAGCCCCCCAATTTCCCCAACCAGGAAAAGCCTAGAGGGGAAGAAGCAGCCTAAGAAAGTGCAGCCATCCCAGGTAAAGATGGGCAGCCACCGGTAGGGCAGGCTCTTAAAAACTTTTCCAAGTAGTGGGATAGGTTGGGTTGTGCATCCTGTATCTCAGGAGGTCAGTAGGACACCTTTGGAAGGTGGTTGGGTGGGGAAGTTCAGGTGGGACAGATACAATTCGGTCAGCAGTGACTATTCAAAACCTAGTTAGCTGATTCAAGTAATCAAAACACCCACTGGTTCATTTTGGTGGGAGGAAGCAATATTAGCATCCAGCCTGGTTATCAGGAATCTTAGAGATTGTTTGGTCTAAGTGTCTGAGGGCTCTCAGAAATTACATGCA